AATATGTATGTGTGTGTGTGTGTGTATATATATATATATATATATATATAAATATATATATATATGGTAAAGCAAGTAGAAATCAGCTCAGTGTAAAAATCAAGGTGTACATATAAGGTGAATTGTGAATTGTACTGAGAAATTATGTTGCCCCTTCTAGGGAACTCGCGCTACGTCCTCTAGCAGACATTAGAAGGAATGGGAATGGTGTCTGAAGCACATGTGAAACAACTCCAATCCCATTGGCCCACGTAGCCTGTGACGTCACAGGCAGGCGCCAGAAGCATAAGAGGGCACCTGCCGAACACGTCACCAACTTTTCTTGTCTTCAGGAGCCATTTGTTTGACAGTGCATGTGAAGGCATTATGGATAAAACCAAGGCAAGTGGGCGTTTTAGAAAGTGTGTGCCTCCGTGTCCTAGGTTTCTGACACCCGAGGACACACGTTCGGTGCTCAAGGACTCTGAATGCGCTCATTGTGACAAGTTTCCAATGAGAAAGCTCTGTTCACGTTTGTCCCTCTTCCCGAGGGATAAGGGACAAGTGTCTGCATCTCACGGTTCAGGTCCCGCTGCTGCCGAGGCACAGAGTAGACTCATGGGGTTAGCTGCAGAGAGGTTTGAGAAGGGCGTGGATAAGTGTGAATGTGCATTTGACTCACAAGACAGCGAGATGCGCTCATGGTGATGCATTCGCGGGGCTACTGAGAGCAGAGGTAAAGCTTTGCCTTTTACTTAAGATTGTAGACAGCCTTTGCATTAGCGCGCTCGCCTCTCAATGGAGTCGAACAGACTCAATGCAATGCATTCGCAGCAGGTTCTGTTCTCGCCTCATTCTTGAGGGAATCTAGTGTTTGAACAGGGCGTGCTTGGCTCTTGGGGGAGCTAATGCCTCGTATGCTTGATTCTCTTTTGAGAAAAGAGAATTGAGTGCCTACAACCCGTGGCTCGGGTCTCACGACTGCCAAGGCAGCTAAGCAGACCGATCATGGTGATTGTAGGTGGGGCATGGAAGGAATCTGACAGGAAGTGCTTTCCCTTTCAGGAGCTCCTTTCATTCTGTTCTCTCCCGAGTTGATAGTAGTCAGCATTTGCACGAGCATGTCCGGCTCTCGAGGTGCTTGCCGGTATCCAGATACTCTTTCTCTTGGGTCATCTGATCCCGAGGATAGGGCTACATTGGGCTCATCAGGTGAAAGTGGTTGTCAATGGAGATGAGAGTGTGAGCACTGAATCTCCCCAACCAAGCTCCAGTTCCGCATATGGGGAATGTTGGACGCAATGGCGCATGCTACTAAAAGGCTTGATTTGGTCTGGTCACATGAAAGGCAAAAGCCCTCCCGCAAAGATGCCCCCTGTGGATGCTCTCCCAGGGTGAATCGTCTTCTTTAAAGACTCCTGCTCTGCCATCCAGACCTCTTCAAGGCGCGAATCTTGAATCTTGAATCTTGAATGGTTGCGTTTCAAGTTTACCAAGCTGACTTGCTCAGAGACCTAGATGAGGGTAGGGTTTGTCCCCTATAGGGCAGTCGAGGAAATGTGCGGCACCACAGACTTGGCTCTTCGCGCCACTAATCATTTGATAGTCTGTTTCTTGTCTGGTTGTACAAGAATTTATTCCCAACTTCTGTAAGCATCCTTTTTGGCATGACGAAGCTGTTTGAGTTTCCCAGTAAATCACAGTTTATCATTATTGAATGATAGGAATGTCCTGTTAGGAATGCACATATCCTCACAGAAATGTGCATTCCTAAGTTACATTTGAAGTTACAGTATCTGTGAGCTCGTCCAGATTGGTGGCTGCAGCTTCAAAAACATTCTAGTCAGTGCAGTTGAAGTAGGCTTGTAAATCCCGCTCTGCTTCATTAGTCCATCTTTTAACAGTCCTTAGTACAGGTTTAGCTAATGGCCTGGTATGGCCTGGTACTTAGGACATGAGTTCAGCAGTCATAGTATAAATTATAGTATAATTTATCAGTATAAATTATAAATGATTTTTTTCCCTAAGAATGAACGTTACTTTGATGCATATACATTACACACATATATATATACTGTATATATATATATATATATATATTTTTTTTTTTTTTTTGCTAGTAGTAGTAGTATATCATATGCCCAACAGCCTGTATGTTTGTGTAACAGCTTCTCAGAGGAGGAAGGCAAGGCAGAAAGCGACCATTAGTTCAGAGCTGCAGAGCTCCAAGACGATGCCATTTAAAGGGCAGCAGGTTTAACAGAGGACAACAAATCAATAACATTTGGGTTGGAAATGTCACGACCTGCTCCTGGAGAGTGGCTGGGTTCTGAAAGCTTTACTCCGGTCATGACCCCACATTTACACACCATAAAACAGCTGCCCTGAGCAGACGGTTAACAGGGAGGGACTTAAGACAAAAAACTAAACTACAACAATTGTGAAGCTGATATCTTCTGATTCTCTTGCTATGCAAATGTTTAGTTTAGGGATGTCTTAAAGAAATTATTCTCTTGTGCCAAATTTATAAATGTATACTAGAATTAGCATAATGTGTAGCTACACTTTGTGTAATTATTGAGAAGCAGAACTGCAAGTGAGAGAAGGTGAGGAGAAAGAAAATGAAAGAATGGGGACATTAGAACAAGATGCATTTGAACAAATAATCCAGTTATCTTCCATATTCCCAGTGTTTTATACAGCTTTCATTAGCAAGATTTAGAAGTGCTAACAATGTATTGATTTGTCAACAAAAATTAAGTTTTTTGAACATTTGAAGGCAAAAATTAAGGAATTTCTGGAAACAAAAACACATAATTTTGTAATTTTGTTGGATATTGAAATACATTCTCCTATTCCATTACTTTGCATGATGAAAGAAGTGTGCAGAACTCACAATCAATTTAAATTCTAGCATTTGAATTGAGGTAGTTAATAGAATGCAGTAATTTGAATACTGTAATTTGAATTTCCATCTACGAAAGTAGAAGTAAAATGGATTGAAAAGAAAGTCATAACCCCGTTGCAAGTATAGTTTTTAATGGACTATGACATTTTCAGATACACATTTTACTATTAGTGCACTTATATGGCTGTAGCTTCTATTACATAATAAAAAATCTGATATCAATTTGTATTTTAAAATAAAATATTTTCTTATCTGAAAACACAACAGACAGCAAAACTTGAAAACATATTTAGAGAAATATGTGTAATCACTTGAGGTAATCAGGAAATAAATTCAAAATTAATTGCATTATTATGTCTGACAAAACTTGTGTGGGATTAATTAAGACTTGTTTTACATTTAAAGAAAAATAATTTTTAATCAAAATGTCAAAACTTGATCTTCTGGTGAAACAATAGACTTCTATTAGGGCTGTGCAAAAAATCGAATGCGATTTTCATTCGCATCTGGTCAGTAAAGCCGCTCCTGTGATTAGTAGTAAATCTCCAGCACAGCCCTAACTTCTACCTATTGACGTATACTTTTCCAAACTTGCAAACCTGCATCTACAGAATGTTTTAGCTCAACACCAACATTTCAAAATTCAACCAACAACCGATGGATGGGATTTTTTTTTTTCAATAATACATGGCAGTCTTCACAATATGTACTTCACAATTAAGAACAAAGCATCTGTTGTTACTTCAGTTTCATTGCGACTTTAAACTTTGAATTTCACCCAACCCTAGCAGAGACAGCTACAAGCAAGCCATTCGTCTACTCGTAATAGAGGTTAACACTGGCTTTTTTACCAAAAATTCTGTTTGTTTGAGTACTCCAACATTCAACTACTGGCTAAATCAATAGCATGAGACTGAAGTGTAACTACCTGTTTAGTCAAACAATTTTATATGGGAAGGTATGGTAGAAATGTCTGGGAAATCTGTTTGAAAATAAACATTATGTTTGTAATTTGATTTGATGATGCTAGTGTCACAAATTACACACTTCACCTTACAAACAAAAGTAGAAAAGCACACACAAAGGTTTGGAAAGGACAGAGTGGATGTTCCTTTAAGAGAGAGCAGACAGATCTGGCACTGACAGGAATGACACCGGATCTTCCAGAACCTTGCATGAGTGTTTGAGTGAGTGCTCAGCTGTCGGTTGGAACGAGAGTGAGAGAGTATGTAGTCTTGCAGCTTGACTTGAGAAGAAAGCAGAGTGACAAACAGACATATGATCCAAACTAGACATAAAAAACTTACAGACACAAACATGCACACTTACACTAAAGAATCACAATTCTCCTATCACGGCCACTTTTGTGACTGATTTCATTGGACTGCACAACCTCTCTGTAGAAGTTCAGCTTTTTTTTCTCACCCCTCTCTGCCCTTAGAACGGAATGTTCAAAGTGGGAATGGCTATTAGCGAGTTACATAATCGGAAATCAGTTACCGAGACATGTTGAAAATGGCTCTTGGCTCTGTCTGTGATGATATTGTAAATAGCGTGCACCTGAACTCATGCAATTACAGGCAGGGAGCACATAGAGCAGGGAAGAGCCTTTTGTAAAAAGGCTGTTTGGCAGGCCGATTGGATACAGGAAGAAAATAACTATAATAAATGACATAAAATAATGTCCATAATAAATTACGGACGTCCAAGTTGTTCAGCACATGTGTCTGAGTGTCTTCAAGGTGTGTTTCTCTGAAAGGAGGAAGAAGATGGACAGAGCTATGTGGGTGTAGAGATAAAGATCTCAGGAAGATCAAGTGTGTGTGTTTGCACCTACTTAACCATATAATAAAGACAAATTTGTACATCAAATATTATTATATACAATAAATGCAGACAGTGTGTGGATTAGGGTTAGGTTATAGCATTTATAACTAGCAGTAACTTGCATTAGGGGTAGTATCAAAAAAGGTCATCCAAGAAAGCAGTTAAGTACCAGCAGAGAACTCTGAGGACTTCTCTTGCTTAGATACAAATGATCCATGGCAAACGGATCCATCTGAATGTAGCTTGAACTGTGATAGTGGCTTAAGGAAAACTGAAGGAAGTCTTATTGCATGTTGATAAAAAGTCAGACTGTATCATCTAGGTAAATAATTCTGTGTGAGCGCTCCTGGAGATCACACTTTTGCCCAAGTAATTACTGACACCTAGTGGTGATACCTGTAAACAAATACATTTAATGGAGTGTGGAATTTCTGTAACACATTTTCATTAGTAGTTTTAAGTAGTTAATTTTATACAAATATTAAAAACGCACATTTTAATTCATTAAAAACCTTTATTATTATCATTATTATTTTATTAAACAATAATTTCTATATTATTTATAGCTTTTAATTATTGACCAATCAGCATTCAGGACCAGATGTTCTGGTGCAGAACTATTCTATAGAAGAATAGAAAAATAGAAGAATTAACCTGCAGACAGTATAATTGTGTTAAAGATTGAAAACTGTGACAGATGGAAAGATGGAAGTGTATTAGTCAAGTTTATGGGTTAGTACTTACAGTAATGTTAGTGTCTGCATTGTCAACAACACTATCATCATCAAGACTGTCCATGTCCTCAGAGGACTGATCTTCAGTCTGAAATAGGAATGTAACACTAGCATGGCAGGCAGACTCACAATATCAATGAAAACCAAGCAATGCAGGGTTTAAAACGCTGCAATATCAACAAAACATATCATTTTCATTATATTTTGCAATATGCATTAGTTCCCCCCGCATATCTATGGGTTCAGGTGTTTGTTGCTTTATGTCTAAATATTTTTGGCTTTCTAGGCTACCAGAGTTGCCCATATACCACACCATGTTACAACACAGTAGGGCTATTGACAGTAGGGCCGCGGCACCCCGGTTGGGAAACACTGTTCTAGACATACAGCATTCAAACATACAGCACTGTAAAGGTTTCAAGAAATATGAATAAACACTTGTATGTGTCCGTTCACGCACACGTGAGCCTGTGTTCTACCTTTGATTTCCTGCGATTAAACTCTAGGAAGCCCAGCAGACCTTTTTTCTCTGATCCACTCAGACTGTAGGAGTGAAGAGATTCAGCTGTAAGAGAAACACATGCGTTCAGCATCTTACACAAACATGCAGGACCAACTATTATAATGTAGAACTGAGTCAAGCAAAGTTACTTTTGTTGGAGTGATTAATTTTGAGCTGGCTAATGAGAACAATGGATTATGGAAGATAAAAGATTAGCATATGCAGAATAAATGCTAGTGCTTGCACGTCAGCAAACCAGTAGCGTTAAATGTTTTTTGTGAGTTTAGGAATTAAGCTTGGTCTCTGTAAATGAAATGCCGTATCAAACCCACTGTCATGACAACAAGATCTAACTTTAAATTTTACATACACTACCATTCAAAAGTTTGTGGTAAGATTTATGAGATATAAAAGATTTCTATTTAAAACAAATTAAATTTTTTGAATTTTTATTTATCAAAAAAAAAACTTGAAAAAACTATCATGGTTTTCACCAAAATATTAAGCAGCAGAAATAAATTACATTCAAAAATATTCAAATAAAAGGTTATTTTAAATAGTAATATTTCACAATACTGTTTTACTGTATTTTAATCAAATAAATGCAGCCTTGTTGAGCATAGAACACGTTAACGTTAAAAAAATGTTACAGACAATTTTTTTGAATGTTAGTGTAAACCAAAAAATAAATAGTACACAATGCACAAAAAGCAGTACAAAATTCTGGCAACAGATGGCGCTACACTTCTGCAAAGCTCCGAAGCCTCTACTCAGGGCTGTCCAAACTCGGTCCTGGAGGGCCGGTGTCCTGCAGAGTTTAGCTCCAACTTGCCTCAACACACCTGCCTGGAAGTTTCTACTATGCCTAATAAGAGCTTCATTAGCTGGTTCAGGTGTGTTTAATTAGGGTTGGAGCTGAACTCTACAGTACAGTGGCCCTCCAGGACCGAGTTTGGACACCCCTGCACGTCAACAAAATCAGATGAAAGAACACTAATGCAACTACAAAACCTAAAGAAGAATTAACAGGACAAGTAACAGGTTTCTCTGAACACAGTGAATTGAGAATGAAAGCATCACAGTAACAATAAGCATGAAAGATGAATACATAAACATAGGCACTGCATGTCTTGTTTAATTTCAATTGGCCAGGCCATTTTAATTATTAAAGGCTCTAGTACGTTCTGTGACAGGAAGCAAACAAGGCAATTTGTCTACATATACAGTAAAGCCACTGTGACAACTATCAGTACCTGAGTAGTTCAGGGCAGGTGTCGAAGCCATTTTAGGCTGGAGAACTGGAAACAATCAAACCAGTACAACAGTTAAAGGCAAATGAAAGTGAATAGAAATCTTTTTACATTTGGCTAGACAGTGAAGGACTCACACTTTAGACAGTGAAATGTCACAGGCTTAGTGCCCTTTAGGTGCTGTGTTTGAGCATGTTATGTAATAATAGCACTGGCTAAACAAAGATACTATAAGTGAATACATCTAAGAGTGTGTCTGAACAGGAAGTGTTGGACCTGCCGATGAAATATCTAAATTGAAACTTGCTCTAAACCTGTGGTTTCTCAGCTGTTCTTTACATCAATACAATGATTTTCCATTGGATGTAATTAAGTTGCTACCCAGCACGCTACCAAAATTAATTATTGTGGCTCCTCATATATATTTTGAACTTTCTATACATCAAAGATTCCTGAGGAAAGAACAACTGTTTCACGGTTTTCCACCAAATTATTAAGCAGCATTTTCATTTTCAACTGTGGTGTCCTGACATTTTTATCCCGTACCTAGTGTTTGATCCAGGACATAGAGTTCCCTGATATTCAGCTCACTCAGGCACTTGTCCAAGTCCAGCTGTTGGTGGCTGATATTGTCTCTGAACAGCAGGACATGGGCTGGGTCAAACTCGCACTTCTGACAGATCACGGGCACCAGGATATGCAGAGGGGCCAATGGATTTACTCGAACCACGGCCTTCTGACTTCGGTGATAGTTCACCACCAAACGCACCGTTTTCTATGTGATGAGAGAAAGTGAAACAGATGTGAAGAATGAGAGAGGTTCATTTAGACGTATTAAAGAGATGGCGGTAAAATATCCTTTTAAATAGCTTATATTATAAAAAAAAAAAAACAATAGATAGATTTGCATTGATAGGAATATTAAAGAAGTTAAATACAACTTTAGCTTTATGGTGTCACTTACCACAGCAATTAAACTGAATTGTCATTTATATCTGTTGGAAATGGAAACTGATTCATAAAAATCCCAGCAGGCAGTCACACCATAACAGTGCATGTTGACAGCAGCTATGTTGTATTTAATCTGGAATTTTTTTTTTTTAAACGGAGAAAAAAATTTAAATCAAGAGTAAATATACGGTACCTAACATTCAAATGCTCTCTTCCTGTACATGACAGTGGTGCAGCAAACTCACTACTTTGTGGCTATTTTCATATGCATGATCAAGATAAGATAAGACGCAACACAGATCTCTGAAGTTTCACATGAGAAGTGGGCAAAATTAGACTTTATATGCACGTCTGCAGTGTCTTGTAGAGGAAGTATCACACCAACCACAATACACTGCTTAGAGAAAAGCTTCTTCAGAGAACGAAATTTTGGGTTCCATCGAACACCAATAAATCACATTATCTAATTCAATTACTCATATGCAAATACTAATATTGCTCATGAAACATTCAAATAACTCTATTTCAGAAGCAGCTACATTTCATCTTAGCTAATAGTAAAGAAACTACTGTTAATCAAAGTAGTCACAGAAGACATTTAATGTGTGCCATTTCCTGTATATTACTGTGCAGACAAACGAGAGCACACCAGAGAAGACTGGGGTGCATGAAACAGTACGCAACATTTCAGCTTTGTTCCACATTTTAGTTAAAATGTAATCCCACTTGAAAAAAAAACTGTTACTCCACTTTGTCACACATTCTTAGACTATGGATGTGAGACAACATGTGTGACACTGCACACTCAAACGACACTGAAAAAAAAAAAAGCTAACTTTACAAGTACTGTAGGTGGGGCTGTCTGAATGACTAGATGGCCCTGAATGCCACTGACAGATATTGTATAGATAGATATGCTAATTTTCATCTCTATTCTAGCCTATACTTGTCTGAACAATTTGGGAACTTTGTATTTAGCACTTCTCATGTTGCTGCGTCATTAGAATGAATTGTTTTGTTGTATTCCTCATTTTCAGGTCACTTTGGATCAAAGAGTGTTCTAAATTAATGAATGTAAATGTGATTTTATTGTTAAATGTTACTTTAAATTTGCAGTGTAGCAGTAGAACTTTGACTGGGATGAATTTAGAGATTAACGTTCTCAGAAAGAGGTTTAGCATGCTGAGTTATATATAACAGTTATAACAGCCTGCTCACTTTGTCAACTAACTAAAGAGTTAACCATCCTGACCCATCTCTACTCTAGTCAAATATTTCTGAGCTTACATGTTGTCCATGTTTGTTTTCCTAACAGAAATTGAAAAAAAAATGGTGTTACTCCATTTCTTCACATCTCCATATTTACATTATGTATTGTGTGCTTTCAGTTGCCCAGTGACAGATTGTACTGTTGTTCTAGCAGAATCAGAGGTCAGAGCCTCTAACTCTGCCCAGAGGTCAGACACGAGGTGAGGAGCAAGAGAGGGGCCAGCCAGCCAGGCTGAGGAAGAAATAATGCATGGTAACTCTCATCAAATATTCACACATGAGGGGGAGGAGAAAAGGACACTCATGAAAGAGAACACACACTCAGAGCAGAGCCTGTGAAAGACTCACTGTACCTTTGCTCGAACCCTTTTTATGATCATTCAACCCTCCTGACACATTTAGCCAGAACAAGATGTCATTTAAGAACATTATTATACAAGAGTAAGATCAATATTACACTTTTTTACAGTAAAAAGATATTTACAAAAACAGAATACAATGCATCAATATGAGTAGCATGAATATGATAAAAAGCATGGACATAATTTATATAAAATCAATTAATATTTACATTTTTCACTATTTTTAAACATTTTTTATCATTTTCAGTTCACTTTAATAGTCTTGTGGTGCGATTTTTTTTAAAAGTTCAAATATTTACATTTAAAAGAAGGTCATAACAAACCCATGCATAATAACTATAAAATAATTATTAAAGTTTAAAACAGTTTTAGATGAAGTATATCATTTGTCACTAGGGCCCACCTGTCTATGACACATTTAGCCAGAACAAGATGTCATTTAAGAACATTATTATACAAGAGTAAGATCAATATTACACTTTTTTACAGTAAAAAGATATTTACAAAAACGGAATACAATGCATCAATATGAGTAGCATGAATATGATAAAAAGCATGGACATAATTGATATCAAATCAATTAATATTTACATTTTTCACTATTTTTAAACATTTTTAATCATTTTCAGTTCACTATAATAGTCTTGTGGTGCGATTTTTTTTAAAAGTTCAAATATTTACATTTAAAAGAAGGTCATAACAAACCCATGCATAATAACTATAAAATAATTATTAAAGTTTAAAACAGTTTTAGATGAAGTATATCATTTGTCACTAGGGCCCACCTGTCTAGCACTTGGGGTCTTGTTAACCCATAAAACTACTGCAATGAAGATAACACTTGTTCACACAATGAGCGCATCCAGTATGGCTGATGCAGTTAAACAAGAAGTAGACTGTAGTGTGACATATGCACTCACGCTGACTTTCAAAGCAAATTATTTACAATACAACGTCTGTCTACAGTAGTGATGTCTCGTCAGTAGTAGTGTAACCAGTTTCATCACAGTTGCTGCTGCCTGCCTAGAATTTAAAGATCTTCAAAAAGTCAAAGATATCACCCTGAGGCTTGAGGTCAAAAACCTCTATGACACCGTGTTTCGGAAACTTACCTCTGGCACCTTGGGTGGAGGTTTCCGGATTACCTTGTCCTCCAGCACTCGCTCTTTGATCAGGGCACAAGAGACGTCCAGGGCCCCCAGCAGGGCGTTGGGCTTAAAGCTGACGGGTTGAGCATCGGGTGACAGCAGCTCCAGAGTGTGATATGCTGGATTCAGATGGTATTGACTACACAGATCCACCAACAAATCCATCAGAGCTTTTCTGAAGAGACAGGAGGAGACATAAGGACAGCGAAAGATACAGTTACCTGACGATTTAGACTTGTAATTACATCATGTGATGCAGACAGGACTGTGATAGGGCGAGAGAGAGAGAGAGTCAGCTTGAATTACCGGTGTTACGTAAAGCAGCAAATTGCTACATGAATGCCAGTCTTAAATGTTTGGCTTCACTAACCAATTGTCAGTAATTCAACCTGCATCTACCAAAAATTGTTATGTAGACATTCTAGGGTTTTCAAACCCTGCTGATAGATATTTTATATTTGATACTCTATTCAAGCTGTACCTTTGAGTAGACTGACTTTAAATCAGTACACTACCTTCATGTGTATGAATGTCCAAATTTGGGCAGAAAAAAAAATTAAACACAAAGTCCAATATGTTTGAATATAATCATTATGTTGCTCACATATGGAATGGTCCGTCTAAATATAAATGTCTATTCTTCTGACAATTCCTCATCACCATGGATATGTTTTATCACATGAAAACACTGAATCATCCATCCTCCAAGCACTATTTTCTTTAGTCTTCATATAAAAGGTTAGTTTCATATAAAAGGTTTATGACGTAAACTCTCATGCCTACAAGTGTCAACACTTTCCTTTTTAACACTGATCAAAATTCAGTAGCAACTGAACAAGTAATAAATAAACTTGTCATAAGGAGCCCACTTCCAAGTTTCTATGATATTGTGGTCCTTTCATATACTGTATATGTATCTTAGAACTGGAAAAAAAGCCATGAAAACTTTGTTCTGCAATAACAGGCATTAAAAACCCAGCAGAATGTGCTATATTACAGGGTTTGGAAACCACTGTCTTCTGTGAACACACCCTGTAAAAATAGCTTTCCTCACTTTTTAACTGGTGTCTTGTTTTGTTCATTTTTTAAAGAACTGATGTACTATGAAATGCAAGCCAAATTTCAAAATCCATGGTAGCCCTTTGGGCAGGCACTCTTCAGATTTTGGTAGCCGAAATGAATTTAACTAGATTGTTTAAATATCAACACATATCAAGGAAGGAATTTTATTTCACTATTTCAAATCAATTTAAGGCTTTTTATGACCCGTTTTAAGACCAGCACAAATAAAATGAACCAACATATGATGCAATGTCTATGGTAACATATTGAACCGTTAAATTAAATGATTTACAGTTCAGATACAGGTTTTCACAAAAAAATCCCACCGCTGTATGGCCAGATGAGACTCAAACTACGGTTTCTCAACTGGATAACCAGTGTCTCGCTAGTAAAGTTTTGATGGATGAAGACTGCAATCAAGGTAAAGACGATTGCGGTGGCGTACAGGGGTCGTACAGTAAAGTAAGCACGCATGAGTCCGTTATAATAATCCGTGTATGAGTGCTCTTGACGCACCGATCACACATTGTATTTATGCACAGGCACAGATATTTCCGTACATTCACGCTGTTTCCACACACATTCACAATAATGTTTTGATTTGTCATGTTTATATGGGTGACTGCAGTGACCATCTGATCTGGATACAGACTGGATCTGGTGGCAGCGGTGACCTCGGAATCACTGTGTACAATGTCAGTGAACACTTCCTGTCCCAGCTCTATTTATTCAAAGTTACCACCCATTAAGCTACCAACCAATGTTAAAAATAAAATGTTTTGATTAAATGTTTAGGCTAATGTCAGTGCAATGAGCATATTCACCTGCCATCCACATTGACGGTGGTCTGGTACCCTGAAGGCAGACTGATATGGAGATCCACAGAGGGTCGAAGCATGTTTTCTTTGCTGTCTCCCCCTGAAGATCTTCCTCCATCAGGAACGGCATTATGGAAGATCCTGCGGGGGGCAGGTTGAGGAGGTTGAGGTGGAGGGGGGGCCTTGGCCTTCATTCTCCTCCTGTCGAATAAATTCACAGGAGCAATAAGTAAGGATTAGGTTCAATGTTTTAGTGGTATTTCAATGAAGGTTAATTTTATGACGGATAAAGCTCTGACACTACTAATACGAGTACCATTAACAACTGCCCAGTCATTACACAGAAAAAGGTCATCAGACATTCATATTTTGCTCGGGCCATGGGCATGCTGTTTGGGGCTGATACTAGAATAAATCTGATATCATAACTGAAAGACTGATTGCTTAAGAATTCAAGGTCACCCTTCAGGCACTATCATACATCATCATATACAGTACCTGATGAGCAGAATGTATCTAATGGGATAGTGGGAGCCTATCACGCCCCCTGAAATCACACCAGTGATGTAATACTTAATATTTTAATGATCATAAACAAATTTATGCATATCAAAGAGCATTTTCTCATTCTCAAAGTGTCAAGTCCTGGTGCAAGAGCTCGATATGTCACGCAAAGGTAACTTTTGGTGCCGTTATGTTGTCTCATTCTAACAAACTCTGATGATATGATTCCTTTGCCTCAACCTAATGCCAAAATGAATGGAAAAGATATTGAATCCACCACAAAAAAAGCCTTAAATTAAGTTTGAGTATATTTGCATTGTATGTTGGACAAAAATAAAAATAAAAAATAGCATGTAGCATGGAAGTGTCAATTTTGAAATTTGTATTTTTCAAACACTGCTGATAGATATTTGAATAAAACTGCTTGTTTAAATTCCAAGCCATGACTACCATCTAGTCTCAGAAAAGAATAAATAAATCGAGTTAAATCTGATACTTAATTTTCAGGTCAAATGTCATTAACTGATGAAACCAATGTGATTTCAGTCTTTCTCTATTCAAGCTGTACCTTTGAGTAGACTGACTTTAAATCAGTACACTACCTTCATGTGTATGAATGTCCAAATCTGTGCAGAAAAAAAATTTAAACACAAAGTCCAATATGTTTGAATATAATCATTATGTTGCTCACATATGGAATGGTCCGTCTAAATATAAATGTCTATTCTTCTGACAATTCCTCATCACCATGGATATGTTTTATCACATGAAAACACTGAATCATCCATCCTCCAAGCACTATTTTCTTTAGTCTTCATATAAAAGGTTAGTTTCATATAAAAGGTTTATGACGTAAACTCTCATGCCTACAAGTGTCAACACTTTCCTTTTTAACACTGATCAAAATTCAGAAGCAACTGAACAAGTAATAAATAAACTTGTCATAAGGAGCCCACTTCCAAGTTTCTATGATATTGTGGTCCTTTCATATACTGTATATGTATCTTAGAACTGGAAAAAAAAAGCCATGAAAACTTTGTTCTGCAATAACAGGCATTAAAAACCCAGCAGAATGTGCTATATTACAGGGTTTGGAAACCACTGTCTTCTGTGAACACACCCTGTAAAAATAGCTTTCCTCACTTTTTAACTGGTGTCTTGTTTTGTTCATTTTTTAAAGAACTGATGTACTATGAATTTGGTGATTTCAAATGTCAACATTGGCTACCAGAAATCGCTTACCCCACCTTTAAAGTTACAATGCTTAAGAGATCAATGTGATAATATATTATGTCACACTGCAGTAATTAAACATTGGCCTATCTTTTTAGGCTCTGGTTGATTAGACTGAACTTCTCCTTTCTGACCATAAAGGCTCATTAAAACTGACATTACATAATGAAGTAAGGCAATCTAAAAAACAATAATAGGAATAGCTTCAGATAATCAACAACCACGTACACAGAAATCTAGAAATGTATTGACAAGATTGTAAATTTCTAACTATAAATTTCTATTTCTAATTATAACATTCTATAACAGATGTGTTACATAAATTCCATAGCCACTCAAAAAATAATCAATGGTAATTCATTAATCAAAACATTTGGAGAGAAAAAAAGTGTAAACTGAACAGAAAACATTTTATGTTTTTCTTCAAATTAGCACACTTTTAGACTAGCTAACATATTTGAACAGTTTTTGGGTGGTGGGTGGGGTGAAGCAGTGGTGACACCATTTTTTTTTTTTTACTGTATAAACAGGTCAACAGCATAAAAACCTGTTGAAATATGAGAAATGTAATGTATTGAAGCAAACTAACTAACAATGATTTGCTCTATGACACTGCTAAGCAACTAAGCAACACAATTCACTGTGATTTTCTCCAAGTTGTTAATCATAATGTAAGCGCAGACAGTAAAATAACTACAGAACTTGTTTCAAAACAACAATCTCTGTCATGACCTTGAAGGAGGAAACTGGTAAACCATTAACCCCATTTGAAGTAAAAAAGAATTCATATTTCAGTCATATTTTATAAACTAGCCCCCAAACATCATACCACAAAACCTATCTCACTTTCAATGCCACACTGACACCCAAATATACTGAGAACTAAGCGCTCTTTTTGTTTCAACTGATCAGTCAAGCAAATTCCCTTTCCGCAGTGCAGATATTAGCAGTAGATAAAACCATCCTACTACTGTCAAAGCAGCCATGAGAATCTGTCTGTAGTCCGTGTCCAGGAACCACACAGAAGGCAAGCAACTGGAACATGGAGCTTCTATGATCCTAGAAGACGCTGAGAGGTGTAGAGCATGTGAGAATGCCAAAATGCTTGAACCTCAAGCATATCCAGTTAATGATTTATAAAGGCTTGTGCCAAAATGCCTGCTATCAACACACTGTTGTCATTCTACTGATTATGCAACCAAGACTACCCACATCTTTGCTTCAAGGCTGAACAAACAAATTAAAAAGGTTTTCTTTAAGAGTTACTTCACAAAAAATTTAAATTAGGTCATCATTTACTCACCCTCATGTTGATCCAAGTCATTTTGTTCATCTTTAGAACACAAAATAAGATTAAACATTAATATTAAATATGGTAATCAGAAGCTCAATCGTGCTTGCCTGACTCACAAGAACCAATCAGGTTTGTTCTTGTACGTGAAGCATGCACGCTTGAGTGAACGTGAATATAAGTCTAAATTAAATCTGTTCATTATATAAAGCATTCATATCTCTTTACAGTTGGATTAAACCATTGGATTACTTTTTTCAGTGTTTTTATAAATTTTTTGATGCTTGCAATTTTGGATTTCATGAACTTTCAATCTATGGACAAGAATTATTAGAGAATATTTTTCATTTGGTACAAAGATGAACAAAAGTCTTATGGTTTTAACAACATGATAGTGAGTAAATGATTACAGAATTTTAATATTAAATGCAGAGCACTAATTCCAAGTATGGGTCACCATACTTGGCCACATGTCACGTCACTTTCACTTTCACTTTGTCACTTTCATAATGTCTTTACCCCTAAATGAAGTCTTATACCATAATGAGTTGCATGTTCTTTTACATATGTTCCATTAAAATATTCAATCATTTATTAAATATTTATGAAAAACCATAATATAAATGAATTCATAATTATATGAATGCATAATATTTATGAATATTTTATTATTTATGAAGAGGCAATATTCAGAATTAAGATTTACCAAGATTTACCAACAGTTCTTTAAATTATAAGTAATTTTTAGTAGTTATGCCCAAGAAAGGCACTTTTGTAGGAAAACATTGACACCTGCTTGGATAGTGCTTGTATGTGTGTTATGTGTTGTACTAAGTGTGGCAGAACACACCTCCAGTGCTGACAGGAACAGGACGTTTTGAAAGTGTGGTTTTGTACCGAGCTCAGTGGCTGCTCAGATCGCACACCTTGTCCAACAAAGAGCCCTTTAGGTGTGAGCCAGCTTCCCTGGGAGAGCAGGAAACTCTCAGCTTCTCAGCTGGCAGCTCCAAACACACAGCCTTCATTGCGACTGGGTTGCTAATGGATCGACTTTGTCCTTTTGAAATTACTTAGCTTTCACCGCATTGATACATTTTCACTCTGTAATGTGCTCCTCCAACTACTTCTGCAGTATATAGTATTCATGTTTGCACAGTATGCAAATGTATATTTCTATGGAATATCCAGATGACTTACAACATTTGCCACAATTTGCAGTTTACAACAGTGAACACTGAACAGTACTGAGGGCAATGTATTTCACAATCCAAATATGCTCAGAAACAACAGAATAACTTTATAGAATAAAATAACATTATATCTATAATGTAAGAGCATTTTGTAAGTGAAAAGAAGTGTGTAAAAGCTCTTGTGAACATTAACAAAAAAACTAATTTTCTGAACCAATCACGTCATTTTAGCTTGCTTCTACAAGTGTTTGAGTGTTTTTATTGTGTCTCGAAATTCACTGGACTCATACCTAAGCGTTCCGCATAGCAAATGCAACGCTGTATCAGCTGAGGTACTGAGCAAGTTTACTACATCAGAAAAGTCATACATATGAAGCTGATTATGTGATTCAAACGTAGGGCTGGGCGATATAGCTAAAAAAAAGCATCAACGATATAATGTTTCATATCATTCAGTATCGATAATTATTGACATTTTTATAACCTGTTTTAAAACAAAGAGCAATAGAAAAAAAAAATGTTTACATGTAACCACTGTATTTTTAAATTAACTCAATTTATTGAGACAAACAGCAAATATTTTTTTGTTTTAACAGTCAAACACAAAATAAAAATTAAATATCTAATTTCTAATGTTTTATATGTAGATTAAATAGGTTACACTTTTGGCTTGTTTCCTGAGGCCACAGGAGGGCGCAATGAGCAAAATAACTGTCTATAAAAAAAGGGCGTTACGTCTAAATTAACTCATATAAATCAAATATAATTTCGTAAATTGCATAAACAATTATGAACAAAACAGCATCACATATTTATGCATTTCTTAATACAAAGAGCCGAATCGCCCATCACTCAGATTGCCTTTAAAACATATGAGACGCAGTGAAAAGGAATAAACCTCCACAAATTCGCGACGTGTTTTCTAAAAGTTTAAACTGTTTTAACTTTGCATGGCTTTCTATACATCTCTTCTGTGAGACGCGAGTGCAGCAGTCGTACTTGTCCG